CCAACAGGGTGTCTTACACAACCCCATCAAATCATTCAGAGTTTTTTCTGTAATTGAAAAGAAACTTTTAAAATAGTTTCAAACTTTCAGAGGCCATTTTTCATTTAATCAGCCGCGTCGTATTGGTTTCGTGAAGAATTGTGCATCTTCGAGGTTTTGGAGAAAGGTGTTTGAATTTGAAGTAGCATTTCGGTGCAATTAACTGGTTTTGTCAACCTCAATGGTACTTAAGGTGCTACCAAAACACATGTTAGAAACACACGCTATGGAATCACGATGATTACAGTTCCTTGGGGTGAACGAGTTTTTCGAAGCCCACCTTCCCTACTCCATCGAGTGAAACGGGAAGTTGCTGTATTCTATGCAAACCTTAAGCGGAAATAGAAACTAATTGATGTGCTGTTACCTTGACGACAGCTCCTGTAAAGAAACATTCGCGATGTGTTGCTCAATGGCAAATGTGGTATCCGTATTATGGTTAGGTGAAGCCTGCCTTGAATAGATGATGTTTTAAGTGTCAAACTAACTTAGATATATCTAGATTGATACACACACATACTCACTCACTCGCTCACGCTGGAAAACGAATAGCCCAGTTGTCGTAGACAAATTAAACATAATGTACAGAGATGTGTCCCTTAGGCAAGCAGATACATATTGAAGTGGTGTCGAATCCTCATCCACACTATGATTCCATATTGTCAGCACCAAGCCCATGCTCGGGTTTCAACCAAATTGGGAAATGTCTGAAACCCCCAGAGCTCTGGGAGTTCCTCATCTAGTCAACACTCCATGACGTAACTGAAGCAGTGTTCAAATGGCGTTAAACCTAATTCACTCACTCACTCCTTCTCTATCTCCCTAACGTTTATTCGATAAAATATGCGATCATTTGTTACTCGCATCGGATAAACATGTTACGTTAACCCCAGGACATTTACACAGGTCTAATTTCCAAATCTTCTGTTAATGTTTCTGGTACTCTCTCTACTTGTTATTGTGATTTAGTGTTGATAAATGTCCTTGATCACGTTGACTATATGCATGTACAATGTCAAGGATTAACCTCACTCTATAAACTTTCCACGAAAACTTCGTGGCCTCCGTATTACCCAGTAAACGTTTTTCAATACTTTTCACTCTTACTTTGTCTCTGCTTCCGCCGATAGTGTAGAATGGTAAATCTTTCTTGGACGTTTCATATTTACACTCAGTTATTGAAATGCATATTAATAAAAAATCTTTTAAATAAGTGTTGAAATTCAAAGATTCCATTGTCTGTTCCAAAGCGAGAACTTGTGAAGAACAGGGTTAGAATTGGTCTTCAGACGCCACGGGATCTAGTGGTCAGCATCGCCTGACACATGTCGTCGTATCCCAATTGCGTAGATCGATGCTCATGCTTTTGATCACTGGATTGTCTTGCCCAGACTCGATTATTTACAGAATGCCGACATTTAGCTAGAATATTTCATAGTGCGACGTCAAACAACAAACAAACAACACAAAATCCATAACGAAATCGCGTTAAATCATAAGTAAACGTGTTCGCCTTGAAAAGAACGTGTAAGCCACATTTATCAATTCACTATTCTTACCTGACGTTTAATTGCATCCCAGCTAATTTGTAACGAATTGTTGAATCTGTATTCAGCCCTTTATGCTAGTTTACATTTCCATAAAACCTTTGTGGTTGACAACGTTATATTACATGGATTCCCCTAGGACACCATGAGAAATCCCTCTCGTCATCTCCTAACCATATCAGTGAATAATCTGATAATACAGCACCTATAACTTAGCCTTGGGTGATTGGAGGGACACGCTACTACAAATCCGGCTTTAATAACGGCTAAAGTGTGCATCATGGCAAGGTAATGACCGTTGATTGCGCTTGATGCGGTGCATGAGGTACCACCTGGGGTCAGATTAGCATGTCCCTCGCTTTATCTGTTTTCTGCCCCCCAGAACCAATAGCTCCGCGTGTCAAGCCATACCACCGTGTAAGAGGATGTCAACTGGAGAGATGCTCTGAAAATCCTACTTCCTAAGCCTTCCCAGAAGGAATAAAAACTTCCGGTGTATTTATAACCAATTCCATATCGAAGCATTTACTAGAGCATTCATTTGTTTACCAATGCCTGGAATGTACGTGTTCAGAAGGTACTTTTGTAAATACATGTTTGTATCATTAAACTGCACAAGAAAGTGTACACCAATGTCTTATTGAGGCCAAAAATGAAAATAAACAAGTAATGTATTCTCGATGGCGATGTATCGGGTATAGTGGTGGCGTTGGACCTAAAATTTCGGCAACTACTGCCAGCAAAATAATTGGTAACCTTCAACTAGGGTGACTATTGAGGGGAAACAACAATTGCGATAGTTATAGTTTGTTGCAACATACTATTGCGATAATGATAGTTTACTGCGACCAACTATTGCAATACTGTTGAAATAATATTTTTCTCCTTGAATTGTCTCATTTGAAAGTCATTTCCCGAATGAATGTATATTTTATATGAAATAAAAACAAGTTCAAATAGTTTCAGTCCCTTTTAATAACTGATAAGAAACCTGAAATCCAGATCAAGTAAACAGTTAACAGGTCACAGGGGCGGATAACTCTAAATTCAGGTGAACGAATCTGGTACTTCCTGTATTTTGCGCTGCGCATTTATCAACGGAAGTCAATTACTAATTTATCGATAGTCACACATACTATCGATTCATCGATAGTTTTTCGTTTCTACCATTGATTAATTGCAATCCATCGATAGTTCGATGCATCGTTACAGCCCTATCTTCAAACCCTTCAGTTGGGTTATGGTCAGATATGCTGCGATAGGCATATAGTCGATGTACGTACCATCACGAGGAATTTGATGTCTCTGAAATGACAACATCTTTATGACAATATGTCAGTCATACGTCCATGGTTATGTCACACTTGTGGGTGATCGGGCATGATTTCACGCTGGGAGTCACACATTGTACCCCTTTGGGAATCGAACCAGAGTCTTCGATGTGACGAGCGAACACTTTGGCCACAAGGCTACCCGAGCATCCCTGAGGTCTTCCAAATTGGTATTTAGTGTATATACACTGACTGACTGACTGAGTTTGGTTTTACGCCGCTTTTAGCAATATTCCAGCAACATCACGGCGGGGGACACCAGAAATGGGCTTCACGCATTGTACCCATGTGGGGATTCGAACCCGGGTCTTCGGCGTGACGAGCCAACGCTTTAACCACTAGGCTACCCCACCGCCCCTAGTGTATATACAGGTACATATTGAATGTGTAAAGGTAGTGGTGGTGAAATGGTGCACGGATGTGTTTTTGTTCAGCTCCTGTGAACATGTAACACGAAATGCATGGTCTATTAGCATCTAACCTTCTGTAAAGACGTTGAAGAAGAGTTTGGTAATGCCAGATCCTTTAATGGTTCACGCAACGTGCTTCCACTTAACATTAATCAGAGAGTTACAGTCTCGACATGGTAACGTAATACTTTTTTGGTGTTTTTTTCCTTTTCTCTTCAGTTTTTAGCTATAAAATGGCAGGATTTGAAGAAAAGATATAACTCAACGAATTCCACCGTATTCCAAAAAATACATGATTATTTGATTAACTCAATTCACAGTTATTCGTGCTGACTGATCTGGAATCTAAAACCGTTTCTTTTAAGTCAGAAAGGACCCAGTATCGGTTTAATGAGGCTTGACACTGAAATCAGTCGGTCAGAATAGCGACTGGAATGTTTTTACAATGGGAATTCGAAGTACCTTTGACGACGAACCTAGACCTGGTGGACACACGAAATGTAGCAATAACATTACATGATCCGTATGTGAACTCGAGGCTTTGTGTGCTTGATACCATTTGTATTTTGTTTCTTGAGACAGGAGTGGAATCATAATCAATACTTTGAAATATGCCTGAGGTGTCATTTATCTGAGGAAATATGCCTGAGGTGTCATTTGTCTGAGGAAAAATGTCCGATGTGTCATTTGTCTGAGGAAAAATGTCCGATGTGTCATTTATCTGAGGAAAAATGTCCGATGTGTCATTTGACTGAGGAAAAATGTCCGATGTGTCATTTGTCTGAGGAAAAATGTCCGATGTGTCATTTGACTGAGGAAAAATGTCTGAGGTGTCATTTATCTGAGGAAATATGTCTGAAGTGTCATTTGTCTGAGGAAATGTGTATGAGGTGACATTTGTATGAGGAAATATGTCTGAGGTGTCAATTGCCTGAGGAAATAGGCCTTAGGTGTCATTTATCTGAGGTAAAATGTCTGAGGTATCATTTGGACGCGTTTGTTTGCTTCCTTCACGATGACCTTTATATTTGAAACTTTGATGTACACTTGGATGGATGTTAAGTGGTATTCCACTCCTCCTTCCGTGTTATGGTGTTTGGGTTATATTGCACTTCCTTCCTTTGTTTGGTTGTTTTAACTACACGTTTCAAAATAACTCTGGCACACGTTGTCTGGTTATCTCTTTTAACAAACGCGGAACATGTGCACTTTTAGATAACACATCGCGCTGTTATCTAACGCAAGCGAAATTTGTGTGTGTGTTAAATTCAGCTGCATAGTAATGTAGATCTGTTACCGGAATATGTTTATCACATAATGGGCCTGGTAGGGACTTGGATTGCGCGTTGTCGACGTCACCCGCCCATGCTCATTATATAAACCACTAATTAGTGTAAATTTTGTGGGAAAATTGAATGCGACTTTGGGTAGCATTCAATCACACATTCACACCACACAGTCACACATTCACGTCACACAACCACATCATAGTGTCACACTTTCATATCACACATTCCCATCACACAATCACATCACACAACCACACATTCACATCTCACAATCACACATTCACATCACACAATCACTCTTTTACCGTAGGCAGATGTGTGAAATACCATAAATCTAGTTTCACTGCCTGAACTAAGATCTGTAAAAACTTCATCTTTTTGCAGGTCCCAAGATTTCTTCCCTACCGATTTTGATCTTCAGTGCACTGACCTGACATTACGTCATAGTCAGGTCGATGACAACCTGGTTGTGCGCATGGCGGAAGTATGTTGTGAATATCTGGGTAAGTTGAATGTGATACTGAACACTTGACATCATCTCTGTTTGGTAGGGTTTCATTAACACACGATCGTTATATAGCCAGAACCGTACATTTTACTCTCATTGAGCAGAGATCGTTGATGAATATGAAAAGATTTTGTCGCTATAATTTTTACCATATGACCTTCAACCTTTAACCTTGCAAAACTGGACCCACCGAAAAAACAATCTAAAACATTTTGAGTGTAACTTCTACTGTCAACAAATGTTTCAAATCACTAGATTGAAAGGTCAAATATACAGTAATGTTCAAATTCACTAGGGTTTTCTGAAAGAGCAAACATCTGTTCGTGAATGATTAAGGCCAAGCCCTATTTGTATAGAAAAAAAGCCATTGCGTTATTTCGCCCTATGAACTGTCCTTCCTATCTTGTTAGCGGTACGTTTGTATAGACATGACAGCAATAATGTGCTAGTGAGTAGCCGTTTAGTGCCATTGGATATATCGTTTTTTCCATTGAAACCTTTACTTCTTCTGTGTCAGGAGCCAGCTCTGTACGTTTCAATTTCCATCAAGTTGGTAGTTGTCAGTATTGGCGCTCGGGGCGGCAATCAGATAGTGATATTGTAAATTGGTTCATTTCTGCCGATGTGGCGACCATTCTGTCTTCATTCCTTTCAAATGGTTGCTCGCACCAGGTTGCTGGAGAAATGAAGACTGCAATTGGATTTTAGCGCAATAAGAAGACAAATAGGACAAGCCATGTCACAATAAAAAAACAAACCAGTGTTTTGCAATTATCTGGAATAAATTGCTTTACCCAGCCCAGAGGGACCAGATTTTATTCAGGGTTAGCGAGTAGTTATACATTGTGTATTGTAGCAGTGTCATTCTGCTCTGTTGTAATTGACATGCTTACGTTATTAGAGGTTGAATGTTCTCGCAGGGAAGGTACGTCTGGGCTAGAAGTCCTCCTGTCCACAATAAAGTCAGTTATAACAGACACAAATGCAAAATGAAAAATTCGTAGTTTTACATTGTGTGTTGTGACAGAGTTATTCCGCTCTCTGGTAATTGACATGCTGAATTTATTACGGGTTGAATGTTCTTGCAACGAAGGTACGTCTGGGCTAGAAGTACTCCTGTCTTCAATAGACTGATGTCATTATTATGAAAGTCAGTAAAAAGAAAAAAAACCCGAATATTAAAGCCAGTTTATTACTGTTTATGTTGATGAAAAGCCGTGACACGCCTTTTGAAATGAACCAGAAGTAATTAGGCTTAAGGAATTGGTGATTTTCAACGTGAATAGTTCCTTTTGAAGGTTAACGATGTAGAGAAAAGAAATTCTGCAGTTACACGTATTATCACTGCAATGGAACGTTGTCGATGGTACCTATGTTTATACCGTATGGGAATTAGTATCTTGTAGATAACAACTTTTGATTAGGTTTCAAATCACTGCCGTGTAGTGATAACAGGCGTCCCAACAAGGACAACATGCATTAAGCGAAACTATGTGTCCACTGAGTGGAACGATAATGAAAGGGATGTATCTGTGCCCAGCCATGGATTCTACTAACTGCACATTAAGGAGATAAAACGGAAGGTGTTTTGCTTATTTGATCTATCTAAATGATCGAAGTATTTGTTTTGTGATAAACACTGTGATATGGTTTTAAATACTAGCAAAAATAACCCCCAAAATAACAACAAAAACAGTGCCGTTGGAATCCTGTTATGTGTGAAAGATCTTTCCTATTATAAGGCTCATTTTTCTGAAGCGCATGTTTCCATACAAGCTGACAGAAGAGTGTTTACTTTTAATCAAATTTCCTTCAGGGGAGTCTGAAAATATACTTTATGAAATACATACTGATTTTAAGATTACCAATTCTGACATGGTACCGTGTGCTGATAAACACCATTAACGAATTATACATTAAATGAATTTTAGCTACATGACTGGAAGTCAAGGGAGCTTATATTATGACCAGGTTTTTCGTGCGCTCTTCCTTCGAAAACATCTTCATCTTCACTGGACTGAATGAAAGCAATAAAACCCTTTCAACATCCGTAAGAAATCCCTGCTAAAGCTAAAAGTTCACATACTTCTTCCCACCAACGGTGACATCTTAGTTTGTTGAAGAGGTTCGAATTCGCCAGTGTGGGCATATTGAACAAACTATTTTTGGCATTTGCCAAAGCGTTAAAATGTAATTGAATTTGGTGCATGTGTAATTAGTAGTTGTGCACTACACGTGTTGTGTTTTTTAAATATTGACCTTTACGTGGCTCTGTGCACTTGTCTGAATTATCAGACCGCCAGAGCTAAACGTTCGCTTGCATGCTTCGCATTAAGGTCACATAATATTTTGTTTCATCAGATTTAAGTGTCAGTTTTTAGCATTTCCAGAATTTTTTAACATCAATGCTGACAGCAGCATTTGTGAAATGTCCATCTTCCTTGACTGTAAATTGTTACAACATATCCTCATGAGATTCTTCCTTACCATTGTATTTTCTCAGTTGTTATTGCTATTCACAGGGACAATATTACACTGTGGAGTAGATCTAGTTTTGTCATGGCTTTAAGCGATATGTAAACAAAATATGAATGATGATATGCTAATAATTAATCGTTTTGTTCGCTGAGCCTTAAATAACCCCATCCAAGCAGTGTCAATACAGGTGTATGTTAATGCTTTTTGTCTGTGTTAAGTAATATAAGAAGGAGAGTTGACCTTAGAACCAAAACGACCAGACAAGAGTCTAAGTGTTCTTCCAATATGGTCATGTTACAAGTGACACCAAAATAATTAGCTATGTGAAATAAACAAGTAACCAGATCATATTCCTATATCAAAGAAAATGTACGCTGCTTAAACAGTCTAATTCATCAGCTATTTGACCTTTAAAAGACACCTTGGCTGTGAGGGCTATCCGCAACATTCTCAACAAATTCTAATCAAAATATCATCCTTGTACTGTTGGCCCCAGTGACCAGACAGCTTTTAGTTATCAATAAACACAGAAAACTTACTAAAGTAAGACACTGGAGAATTTACACTCTGACCATGACAATTCGCGGTTAATATTGCAATCTTGCTGGCGTCTTCACAACAGTAACAGCTTTTGACGCGAACATATCGCTGAGTAGAAGAAATGAACAGTTACAGAAATCCCTGGACAATTTTTGTTGTCTTTCGTTCATCTCCTGGGGGTAATTTACTTGTTGAAAAGGCCAATGAGTCGAGACCTTTCAGTGATGAACGATTTGGCAGTGAGCTTAGACTGAATTCCTGTTAAGCCCTGTTAAATTAGAAATATAGACCCATCCAATTCAATCGGGGTCGTGTTTGGTTCCATGGTATCTTTCTGAAAGTGAATTTTAGTGTTTAAGCTGTGGACAAGGCGACATACATAATGCATGGTTAGAGTGCCACTGGACAATTACATTCACAGACGCCTGATCGACACTTTGTCTTGGCACTTACGTTTGACGATACCTGTACACCCTGGGGTTTATTGTGAGCACCTTAGGTCGTCTGTCAGAAAAAAGAATAATGTTCCATAGGGTTGTCGGGAAACTGTTCCTGCTAATACACCAGGTTTAGGTAATTGAGAACATAAATATTCAAAGCCACATTCACGTTTCAGCTGTTTATGTCCTGGGGATTTGAATAGTGTCAAATTGGTACATGCCGTATGATCCAGTGGTAGTTTCTGTGGTAATCACAAGAATAGCAGGCAGGAAGCAGGGGTGGCTCAGTTGTTCTAGGTGTTGCAATTCACAGTGTATAGTTGCTTCCCTTGGATACACCAGTAGCCTGTGATCGTCGGTACAAATTCCTGGTTTGTCGCAACATACCCGTACTCATGGGTTTCACCGACTTGCATCATTTCAGGGACTTAGTCAGCACGCTGCCACTCCTTGAAATAACTGGAATACTGTTAAAAACGTTTTTACACCGAACTTATTCACTAGTATTGGAATATTCTCGTTGTTCAAACATAACATGTCCTTTGGTCGAAGTAGAAATATAAATAAACATATACTAGTTGATTATTCCAACACAAACACATTACATCCTTGTTATAACTTGTCAAAAACCTGTACCAGAAGGTAATATGTATAATTGATGACTGAAGCAAAACCTTTCAGACTGCAGCCCAAACTAGCACATCATCAGTTTAGCCTCATCTTACCTTGACCTACAACACTAAGAGAACATGACACCAACAAGTATCATTCAAGGGCCCTGTAAGGCAATGAAATCAGGTGGTGTAGGAGCTGAGGTTTTTTTTCAATTACATCACGCTTGTTAAGCAGTGGGCGCAAGGAATATATTATGAACATCCTTCTGGATGAGATATTGTTCTCTTCCTGCTTTCATACTATACATTCGGGCATACGGGACACATTTATCTGCGTCGTGTTAAAACACTGGATCACTCGTGAAGATTGGGGTTAGAATTGGCCTTCAGACCCCCATGCTTGTCGTAAGAGGCGACTTACGGGATCGGGTGGTCAGGCTCACTGACTTGGTTGACACATGTCATCGTATCCCACTTGCGTGGATCGATGCTCATGCTGTTGATCACTGAATTGTCTGGTCCAGACTCGATTATTTACAGACCGCTCCCATATAGCTGGAATATTGCTGAGTGCGGCGCTAAACAACAACCAAACAAAACTGAAACACTGGATCAGATTTGTTGGACGCATGGTGTAATATTAACCACGGTTGGGAATAATTAAGTAATTGAGTGCGTTCTTAATCCTGCCTTTTTTTGGTAATGGAAAGAAAAAAAATATGTAATTCCCGATCACGCATACTCTGCTTGAGGACAGGTTATTGGGGACGAGAGGTTAAACTTTCACTTTTTTCTTTTGAGAATGGTACTTGATGGTGTTGTTTTTGACCTTGTGCCCGTTTTTGCACTCAAGAGAGTTATTGGAGTAAACTGAATTATCTTTCTTTTCCCTCAGGGCTGGAAGTTAACCGTTTTATGGCTGGTTTAGGCATGGAATACTTCATGCTGTGTGTTGAAGAATACGGCAAGGAATTACACATGGTTGGAAGCAGTATGTTTGAGTTTTTCAGCAATGTCGATGGACTGAATGAACCTATCCGAAAAACACCTAAGTTTCACGGTGACACGCCTGCCTCGTTTCGATGTGAGTATGACCACAACACGTTGTTAATTCACTACTACTCTAGCCGACGTAAGTTGCTGCACATGATGCTGGGGACAATTGCTGCCGTAGCCAAGGTTCGGTTCTCGCTGGAGGTGGAAATAAAAGTGTCTCCCCATCGTTTGCCAGAATCTCCTCATCAGATCTTCATCATCAACACCATCACCAACAACAACGACAGTAACATTACACTAGGTGCTATCCAAGACACGGTCTCCACCAATCCGTCCGACTCTCAGATAGGCGTGGTCACCTTCTGCCACACTTTCCCCTTCCACGTGGTCTTTGACCGTCAACTGCAGATCACCCAGATTGGCAGCGCCTTCATGAAGACAATAGCGCCCGAGATGGCCACAAAGGATTAGAACTATCAACGTATTTTGAAATCCTCAGACCGGAAGTCAAGATGAATTTTTCTGCGCTCCTATCACGTATAAACTTCAGCTTCCTGCTTTTGACAAAAACCGCCAAGGTGAGTATTGATGACATCCTCACATTAAATTGACTTACATTAACTACTCATAAACGTGGCGTTACACTAAACGATCTCCCGCATTCTTTCCATACCATTGTTGCACTGTAATAGTAGGTTCGAAACTAAGATTCGCCCAAATTATGAGTTTTCGGTTGTCGGTACCGCTACATCCCTGGAGCTAGAATCCAGCATCTCAATTATTTAAGTGTAGATTTCTATTCATTCCCAGTATTCCTTAGATTGCAAACTTATAATGGCCCATAAGGGATTCATCAGCATGTCATGGGCTAATCTCAGTCCGGCTGGGGCTTGGGAGAGATTCAGCGTTGGGTTGAGTATCGTATTGAAGGGTCGGGATAAGGTTTAGGGTTCGATCGGATTGGGTAGATTTATGGTTTGGGGTAGTTGTTGGGGTAAGTACGGGTTAGTGTTAGAATTATGGTTGAAGGTTTGGCTCAGAGACCAATGGTGCGTTTACTTGTAATAAAAGCTACAAAGGTACATTTTCAGATCTCTGACGTTTCTGTACTCTGCCTTTTAAAATTAAGTAGATTTGAAACTCGGACTTGCAGCATCTTATGGTAAATTATTAATCTCAAGATAATTCTGCAAGATTAGTTAACAGAAGAGGTACATAATTCATTAACTCGGGATATAATATTACTTTAATGGCAAACCAATAAAAACTGAAACCATGTATCTTGACTATGTATCTAAAGGTGTCTCAATTTCATTTTGTCCCACTCAGAGCATGGAGGTAAAAGGACAGATGATCTATCTGCCAGAATCAGACGCCATCATGTTCATTGGATCCCCCAGCGTCGAGAAACTGGATGAGCTCATAGGCAAGGGCATCTACATCTCCGACATTCCCATCCACGACGCTACAAGAGACGTCATCCTTGTTGGCGAGCAGACCAAGGCTCAGGTAAGGAGGACCTGTTATGTTGTGGAATCATATCTTCAGACATGATTACTTCTCTGTATCTGTCATCCCACCATCCGTCACTTGACCTTTTCAGAACTGATCTGCAATTTTACAATCCTTAAGCACCAATGAATCGCAATATGCCTAACTAACGTTTGCCACATGCAATTCTATCTAGTTTTGATTTCCCAGCTGCCAAACTCTAATAATGAACACAACTTACTCAACAATATTCACCCACACGTCAACCTTCTCATCACCCTACCAAAATGCCCACCTGTCAACCAAACACCCGTTATTGCACTGCAATGGTCGATCCGGCGACCAAAGCATCTTCATTTCTCAAGTATCCTTCTGCAAAAACCGTATCTTTAACATAATTCCCTAATATGTTATGTATTTTAGACACAACGCTCTATTGATCAATTCAAAGAAATCTTAATTATTGACTGATTTGTTATTATTTTATTCATGGATACCTAATTCTGCAGGAACGCAGTTGATCCACGCGTAACACAGGGCAATGGTTCCCTAGCCTGTCAGTTCCGCCCGAGTCTCGTTAAAAGGATTGCAACGTCTATTGAGCATTTCTATCAAACTGCATCTCACTAATGGAAATTCCATCGGTTCCAATCCGGCGTGTAAAGCTGTCTTGCAACAGAATACGACTGTTGCCTGGTTAGCACGCCGGCCACGACACATCCCAGGAAGTTACTGTCTACATCTATATACTCAGTATTCTGTGATGGGGGTTACACAACCTTGTGTTTTCGTTCAATATCTCAAACTAATCGAACTGCCCAAACTGAGCCGGGCTGTCGATAGACTCGTATATATACGTATTAATGGCCGGGAATAAAGCATTAGGAGAAAGATGCAGCGTACATGCAAATGTTAATACATCTACAAGGAACCTAGTTCTATGGACACTTCCTGAACACTCGCACCCTTAACAACGCGCCCTGTGCGGTGCATTAGTCGGTTGTATATGATAGTAAATATAGATCTGTGTAATTTAAGGAAACATTAACGTGCTCACTACTGTTACCACGTCCCGTGGAAGCACTGGCAGCCCAGACGTGTAAAGCGCCGCATTTTGCAGTACAGAGTTGCATGCCCTGGGTGCAACGGAATCCTCTGAATATGGGTTCTTATCCAGGATTCAGAGATTACGGTTCTGGGTTTGTGGTCATGGCCTCGTGTGAACGTGGGGACCTGCATTAGGGCATTAATCTCACATCCCGTGATAATATATTAGAAATAGTATCGCCACCTTGAAGGATTGTCTTAATCATCTTCCCTACACCACATCTAACCACCCCCACCTCCCCACCACCATGACGTCTGCTGAATCCGTGTTACACCTATATCTAAAACGAAATTCCCGTTAAATCTTCGTTGAATATATCGTAGCAAAACATTCTTGTAGTAAGCTTTCTGGCTGAAAGAACACAACGTCGTGAACGTAGAAAATGTCATTTCACTGGATGTGTTTCTTCATTTGTACGAATGAGTAAGTGAGTGAGAGTATGGTTTTACGCCGCTTTTAGCAATATTCCAGCAATATCACGGCGGGGGACACCGGAAATGGGCTTCACACATTGTACCCATCGGGGGAATCGAACCCGGTCTTCGGCGTGACAAGCTAACGCTTTAAACACTAGGCTACCCCACCGCCCTTTGTACGAATGACCTAGGGTTTGTATGTGTTCAGAATAATTCACCTGCTGACGATAATATGAGGGAATTGTGTAATTTACAAGAACAACATGGCTTATAAAGATAGATGCTTTAGTTGAAAAGGTAAAATATTATCCTTTGAGCAGAAGCCCATCTTGACATCTTGGAAAAAGCCTTCTTGGTCTCATAGGCACTTCACAGACACTTCTGTCCGTCGTCTGCTTGTTCCAGTTACATGGATAATAAATCTAAAAACTTTGATTTATTTTTTCCTGTAAAATCTCTAAGTCGTGTTGTTAACATTGGCCTCCTCCTCGTGATACACCAACAGTACACGTGCTTTATCAGTATGTCATTTTTTCCAATGTTCATCGTTCTTCTTGAAATATAGTCTGGGGATGATTTCGATGTGTGGAGTTCCGTACCAAGCATGCACAACATGTACGCATCTGTTGACATAATCTTATTTCATCATCTACTCTCCAATCTCCGGTGGGGCGGTGGGGTAGCCTAGTGGTTAAAGCGTTCGCTTGTCACGCCGAAGACTCGGGTTCGATTCCCCACATGGGTACAGTGTGTGAAGCCCCTTTCTGGTGTCCCCCGCCGTGATGTTGCTGGAATATTGCTAAAAGTGGCGTAAAACCAAAACTCACTCACTCACCCCGATCTCCGGTTATGCCGACCGATCTCCTCGCTGGACGGCAATTCATCTAAGCCCGTATTAACCTGCCCACCATCCACAAACCCAACTGCCATCTGTGCACCATCTTCCCAACCATCCCCCATCCCTCAACCTATACATGCCACACCACAGCCCAATGTCCGTTCTATTTCTAAGTCACCTCCCCCAAAGCATCGTCAACTTTCATACCAGTCCCCAAACCCCTCCTTCTCCATCTGACCCGTGAAGGTCCGGGTAAGAAGAATATTGGCTTTCAGTAACCCATGCTTGTCGTAAGAGGCGACTAACGGTATCGGGTGGGCAGGCTCGCTGACTTCGTTGACACATGTCATCGGTTCCCAATTGCGCAGATCGATGCTCATGCTGTTGATCACTGGATTGTCTGGTCCAGACTCGATTATTTACAGACCGCCGTCATATAGCTGGAATATTGCTGAGTGCGGCGTAAAACTAAACTCACTCACCGTCCCCATCTCTCAACCTATATATGCCACACCACAACAAAATGTACTTTCTAATCCATCTCCCCAACAGCATCGACAACTTTACATACAGGCTATATCCATTTTTCAAATCTACCTATCTACCACCCTACATATCCATTTTCACCAAGAACTGTACTATCACAGTGACCTAAAATAACACTAATATTTCGGGGAGCATATTGTTTTTAGCCTACGGCTATGTTAACTATAACGATCCCCACCCAAAGCGCCTGTCAACGTATTTCAGAACGTTAATGCAGCTCTACGGTCAGGTGTATCCTCTTCTCGCTGACTTCTCGACCGCTTCCTTCGTGGCACTAAGCTCTGTGGAATTGTCCGCAAGCTGAAACCACGATCAGTCCACTTCGTGATAGTCGGGGGCTTTGGTAAACCTACAACCAATCTCTTTCCCTATTATTTGGAGAATTAACCCCGACCTCTTATGTCCCACTCTTGCCTGGAACACAAATTATATTGCTGTGAACGACAACAAATCGCTGTGCGAAGAAGGCAGCTTCGCCAAGTAATCATAGCTGTTAAAAAAACATGGCAAGCTTTGTGACATTGCCAATTCTCCCGTTCATGATTTGAATAATATATTTATATATGTTGTGAACTCTGAGTGGGTTGCGGTGTATCTAGACATATCGAATATACATGTGCGCTCGCGTTATGTGGCTTCTCGTAAAATTGTATAAAGAAAAGTCTCGTCAATATAGGTTTCGTGACGGTGGGGTAGCCTAGCGGTTAGAGCGTTCGCGCGTCACGCCGAAGACCCGGGTTCGATTCCCCCCATGGGTACAACGTGTGAAGCCCATTTCTGGTGTCCCCCGTCGTGATATTGCTGGGATATTGCTAAAAACGGCGTAAAACAATACTCACTCAATACAGATTTCAGCTCTCCAACACAGATTTCACAGAGTCCAGTGGCACAATTGGGACCACGTTATTAACCAGAAATTATTCCTTATTCCGATGTTCCGCAAATCCCGTAATTAAACGTGGCTGCAATCTGACCCATCTAATGAGGTCCCACTTTATGCAGTCAATCGAGGAATACTTTATAATGTAAAACTGAGAAATACATTAATGGAAAATTGATAAATACACTATTGGGTGCCCAATATCCATATAAAATGAAGGACTAACGATCCCGTTCAGAAGTGTGTCCAGTAGCACATGTCAGTGCGGTAGTACTCTCCAAGGTCAACTTTCGCCGGAGCGAAATTGCTCTGCAGATTAACTTAATGTGACAAATCCATCATTAAAGAGATGAAACTCTTGCCAAAAATACTATTTACAACATTTACATCAAATTTATATATGTTTATTCTATTTGAAAAAGGTGAATATGCATTGATGTATAGTGTTCGAATGCATTTAATGTCTATTAGTACCTCTATGTACTTGGGGCGGTGGGGTACCCTAGTGGTTAAAGCGTTGGCTCGTCACGCCGAAGACCCGGGGTTTTAAATGGGTACAATGTGTGAAGCCCATTTGTGGTGTCCCCCGCCGTGACATTGCTGAAATATTGCTAAAAGCGGCGTAAAACTAAAGTCACTCACTCACTCATGTACTTCACGTACTTGTGGAACGATTGAAGCATAACTTACTATGGGGAGTGAACGCTGATAGAAAATTCACATCGTGGGGATGATGAGTTGGGGATGGTCGCCAGCAACCACAGTTGGTCGAAAAATGTGGCTTCACGCAAATGATTGGACGAGGTCATTCTATTGTCTCGTCGTTCTGCGTCACGTCGTACTCCGACGATGTCGAACATTGATGAGAAACTATTTCCTTAGAACTAACGGTCACATATTCTTCTTTGTGATCTATTCAAGATTATTATTGTACCTAAGGAGAGTGCAATTCTCGTGTAATGAGAGAGTGTAGCTAAAGTATACGAAACTTAACGAACGATAATTAAATGAATATTGCATTGTCGTCTTTGCTCAGTGGTTAAATACTTTCGTCAAGACAAGACGTCACAGTGACAAGTTATTACACCCGCGACATGGTAGATCTACAAGCAATAAAGGTCAATCATTAATGTTATAGGGTAATATGAGATAACCAATACTAGCTCAATCAGGAATGTCGGGATACTATATCATTAATCGTGTATAATGGCAAAACCACGTCAAATTACA